TTGCGGTGGAGTGGATATCCAGGGGGAGGTGAGTGTTTCCCCTTTAAAAACAAAAGGTATCTTTTTCTTCCCCCACCCCCTTCCCCAAGTCCTTTCTTCTCCCCAAAACTGGTGCTGTGGCCTGTAACCTGAGCAGGGCATGGTTTTAGACCCTGAATAACTGGGGTTGCCAGTAAGGTTTAATTTCTGCAGTTGCCAGCTGTTAGGCATGTTCAGAAACCATCAAATTCTTAAGCTGCTGACAATAACCTCAATTTCTGTAAGGTGGATACTGTATTCCTCTGCTGTGTCTACTGAAAAAAACAGTTCTCGGAGTGTGAATCTGGGGAATGCCATATATTGGGATATTGCTGTCCTTAGGGCACAGAATTGAACTGTTTTATTACAGTTCTGTGTATTTGTATCACTGTGAAGTGTAATCTGACAGTCCAAGGCAGCTGTCAGTGACAGTTTGTGTAAATGTAAACACTTTCCACTCAGAAGCTCGCATTGCAAAATCAAGCAGGTCGAAGTGAGGCAGAACATGTAATTTTTGGTAAATACTTCAAAATGAATTGTCATATTACAAATTTATGCCCCCAGAATTTTAGGATTTTTTTATTACATCTGCTACAGGATTACTAGTACTGAAAAAAAGTTGCAGAAGTTCAAGGTAGTGGTGAAACTGAGTGGCCGTGACTACAGTATGAAGGACATATTCAACGTTTACACTGATTCAGTGTAACTTTCTGTTTATATTCTTAATACCAAGTAGAGACTTGTGCTTCTCCCAAAAGTGCAGAAGTGCTGTGGCCCATATACTGCTGAAAGTGTGTAGTCCATCAGTGAAAGAAATTAGGTAACAGCAAGTGTTATGTTGGCTATAATAGTGGCAGAAAATGGTTTGAATTCTAATTACAGAACTTGTTGCTTTAATGTAGGTAATTAAAATTAGAAAGACTAACGCTGATTTTTTTTTAAGTAGGAAATGAAAATTAATTAACTTTAAAAAGTCTTTCTAAAATTCAGAAATAACATTTTAACATCAGTTCTGTAACTTCATCTCTAATGTAAATGCCTACTCTCTTGTGATCTGTTACAGGCTCTTAAGTACTCATCCAAGAGTCACCCCGGTGGTGGTGATCACCGTCATGACAAGATGCGAGACACCACAGATCCTTCACCACCAAATAAAATGTTGCGGCGCTCTGATAGCCCTGAAAACAAATATGGTGACAACACAGGGCACAGTAAAGCAAAAAGTGTGCACACTCACAGAGTTAGAGAGAGGGATGGTGGTGAGTTATCTTTAATTAACCTTTATTTAAGCAATTACTAATTTCTCATAAATACTAAATTCAGCCATTATCACTCAGGTGATGAGAGTGTTACACTAAATGTGCCTTGGACTGGGCTTAGAAGACTGCAGTGAAACCAAAGTGCAAATTTTGTTGCAAGCAATCATCTAGGCATTGTAACACCTATTAATTTTCTTATTTTTACAGGTACAGTAGTTTTTTTTCTAACCAAAAAGGATGAATAAGCTGCTCTTTTTTCTTTTTTTTTCTTTTTTTTTTAAACTGGTATGTCTCACTTACTTTAGTCATACTGCAACATTTGATAACATGAAATAGTATTTTGGATTTTTCACTAACAATAAATATCTGCTGTTTTAGAGACTTTTTTCAATAACTGTGTATTGTGGTGCTATACTGTGTAGTTACATGCTTCATAGACTAAACTCCATAAGAAATGAAAAAAAGCTTCGTCATATTTAGCTGCTGTGTAGAACTCTTAACAATCAGAAAATTATAATCAAAGGTAGCACTCACTAGAGCCTTCTTGGCAGGAGCTTAAAAAAGAATGTTCACAGTCAGCCTCCTGTGTTTTTACAGGATATTTTAGACAGTAGTAATATCCCCAATATTTTTTAACTGCTGTTATTTTCTGTCCCTGCTTCCTAGAAAAAAGAAAGAATGGAGTTTTCCATTTAATACAAAATGGTAACAGTTGCAGTTCAGAAAATCCCGGTTACTGACTGAATTTGGAAGCGTGTTTTATAAGCACTGTATTTGGTCTTTGTATTGAGTTAGAAAGTGAAGTATTCAAATAGAGAACTTAGAGCTTTAAATCATTGCTGGTTTGTTGTATATAAAGTTTACAACTTGTGATGTACAGATACGTTTATTGCTGCACTATTTTTACCTGTTATAATAGTTAAAAGTAAAATAAAGAAAATAACCGTAAGTACCTTTTAGGAAATACTAGTTCCACACCAAAAATATGCTTATGGTACCCAAGTGTTCTTACAGTTCCTATTTGTATTTATTTCTTTGGATTAATACAGAGGCTCTGTAGACCACTGGTAATGTGGAAGTATAATAATCTCAGAATTAAATGCATGTGCAAAGCCAGTAGGCTGCTATTCTGTGCTACCTTTCAGGACACAGAGGTGTCCTCTCTTATTTCCTGTTCACCTGTCCAAAGATACTCGTCCTACACGCTCTTGAAGTCCTCCTTAGTTTTGCTACAGTCAGTAATTCTTTCTGCTTCAGTGGAGTTATGCATGTATGAAGACATCTGGAGGATGAGGCTCTATATGGGGAGTGTATTTGCTTATTTGTGTGTTGGAATTGTTTTTAAGGTAGGAAAGGCATTCTGACATTCTCACTGAGTCCAGCTGGATGTAATAGTTGGGGAATGACTTGAAGCATGGATGTATACAGTAACGATGAAGGAAAATGAATTATTTGTAGTTTTGTAAGTGGAAGGAACACTATCCCACTTCTCCTTATAGCGGCACCTTCTCCTTACCCAGGCTCTTAACACAGTGGAAATTTTCATTTATTCTCATCTGAAAGTGGTCCTTTGCACATGTGTTAATAGACTGGGAGAAGGAAGTAGTCTTCAACAGTCTGAGGGAAACTACTAATTTTAAAAGATGAACGTTTGCACTATTTAATGAAAATAACAAGTGATTTTTTTTGTGTGTGTGTTAGTAAGGTTAGTTGGGCCCTAGTTTCAGCTTTTTAAAATATATTCAAAACAACCGAAGTTGCATTAAATCCTGTGTACTGTATGTAGCAAACGAAAGCTGAGCAGATGTGAGCAGGGGGCTATCAACTTTGTCTTCGATTTACTGAATCTTTCTGTCAGTATGAATTGAAGGTAGGTGCTACAGTATAGGTGAAATGCTGTGGTATTATGGACATTTGCATATTGCTAATGTGCAAAAGACAATCTAATAATTTACTGTGTTTTCTGTCTTTTGAATTACACTAAGGTACTGTCATCAAAATAGTATTCCCTTAGTTTTGCAATTGCAGACATACAGTGGAAGGAAGAAAAAAATTTTTTTTTAAATTGCTAAAATTTTTCATTGTGGTCTTAAGATGACTGAAGTGTATTAATTGGCTTTGATGCTACTGTAGTTTTCTGGCTTGTTTTCTTTTTGTTTTACACTCTTGGGGAAAAAAGTGTTAGTTATGGTTTTGTGTCGTCCCCCCCCCCCCCCCAATTACTGTGCATCTCATTGGAACTACTACAAAACTGTTACTGCCTTCTTATGATCTAGCTGAATTTAGCAAAGCAAACCTCATTGAAAAAACACCAGTATTTATTTCCCCAAACTGCATTAAAGTCCCGAACAAACAATCTCTTTTTCTCTCATTCCTTAAAAAAACAGAACAAAAATCTGGAGTATTACTACTGAACGTAAAGTCTGACTAACCTAATCTCTCCCTATCAAGTCAGTGTTTAAAAAGTCACTCTTAAGTATTTCTCAGTGATTTTTGCTCTGAAGTGAAGCAAGAAGATTCACTGGAATAGCATTGCTGATACTTGGGACTCATTTAGGCATGACTGGTTCACTTTTTTTGTGGTAAAGACAAGTGTCTAAGCATCATTTAAATCTAAAATATAACAGCTATAACTAAGTTGATTGAAAATTAATAACTTTAAAATGATAGAACCCGCCCCTGTGAATACCTTTGGTACCCATATAAGGGTATTTGGTTTTAAGCTTATTATTGTAAAAGTCATGTCAGAATCTTTTGTGTTTGTAGAACTGTAATCCATGGTAAGAAGTTCAGTTGCTTTCAATTCAGGTTTCAAGATGTGTGTTATGGGTAGGCCCTCCATATGACACAGTGCAAACAAAGCATTTTTCAGAGTTGCTTACTGCATGGTTTTTGTGGAAAGAGACTACGTACAGAGATGATTGTTTCTCCGGAGAAAGACTTGCAAGTTTACCTTGGACTAAACATGGTAGAGTACTTGCTAGTTTTTGTCACATCCCTGGTTTCCAAAGAGTACTTGTACATCGAGCATATCAAAAAATTGCAGTAACTTTGTTCTTCCTTGTGCATGGGGACATTGTCTCTGTGTGCAAGTGTTTAAAACATAATGAACAGCTACCCCCTTCAGCGCATCTCGTATTTCTAGGTCAGCTGCTATAGGCAAGTGTAGAGTTTGACGAGATTAGGGGGTCTTATGAGACCAACTCAAGTGTGAAGTTCCTTAGCAGTAACAAATAGGGACTTAAATCTAGCATTGTTTACCGGGAACAGAACTATGAAGAGCCTTGTGGATGTGGAAGAATGTTTTCATTAAAGAAAAGAGAGAAGTACAAAGATTTGAGGTCTCTCATGCTTGAGAATGGACAGACTGAGAGCATAGATGATTCTTGTAGGTCTTTTTAAATGCATAAACAAGGTGATATTGGTGTGCAGGAAAGAAAACAAAGAGGTCAGTTAAATAGAGTAGCTTCAGGAATGTTGTAAGGGAGATACAATTTTTGCTCCTAAATAATATATGTAAGATGCAACCCTTGGTAAAAAAGGGGAGAAGGATGGAGGGGGCGGTTCTGCTTAAAGGTAGGGAGCAGAATGACTATGTGCAAAAAAACTTCAGTTAAGCTACATGTACTCTGTTGTTTCTTATTGTGAAGAAGATACTGAGTTTTTTGCTACATTTATGTTTAAGAGTCTTTGAAAATGTATGTTTGCTTCATGCCATGATCTTACTGAATTGTTTAAAATAACAAATGGACAACAGTAATGTACACAGCATGAAATCTTGTGCTAGATTATGTGCTATGTACGCTATTTTAATGAAATTTGATTATAATTTGTGATACATCAATTCCAAAATATAAGTGAACTTTTGTGAATATGTTTCTTTGCATGTTTTTTTTTAATTGGCAATTAAGAAGACTCTTAATGACAGCTGTTATTGACCGTAACACAGTTCTAAGATTCCTACTGCTATTAGAGGCTGAATGGAATATTTAAAATCATTACTTCCTAGTTTTATCGATGTAGTGGTGGGATCTTCTGTCATGAAGTGTTGGTTTGCTGTGTTTCCAGTGGATCCTGAAGCAGTTCAGAGTCCTCATAGCAAAGGGAGAGCGAACAGCTGGAAACAGAGAGCTAGCTTTTCTTTCCCATCTTAACAACCCTCGCAGGAGAGGAGGACAAGAGGCTAACTGGTGATTAAATTAGCGTGGTCATTGACCAGCAGTCAGAAATAAACGGGGCGTAAGGGCAGGTACAAGAGAGTGGAAGCTGCCTGGGCAAGTGCATTGGAAAGAGGAAATTGCAGGGTTGGTGGAAAGAGGGAAGTCTGAGAGTAATGAAGAATAGCAAAGGGTTGAGGAAGAAGCTGGAATAGATTCTGTCTATTTAGTTCGTATTAACTGCTGTTAATGTTAAAGTAATTATTTATTACTATAAAAACCGTTTCCTCACTGTAACTGTATGGTCAAAGCCAGGATGAGAGAAGTCTGTGATCACAAATGAGAATAGGCTCTCCATGAAACATGCTTTGAACACACACCCAACAGCCAAGTGTAAAAGAGGTGATTCACTCCCCTGATCCTGAATCTTGGCTGTTTGGGTGGCTCTAAAGGAGGTGAGGTTTGGTGGTTTGTTAATTTTTTTAAGATAAATACTTCTAAGTGGTGCTTCCAGGACCATTCACCTCTTAGAAGCTTCTCCCTGGATTAAAAAAAAAAAAAGCAGCTGGAAAAAGGTATACCGTCAGTTGTAGGGAGGGGTAAATTTTAAGTTTTCTTAAAAGTTTAGAAATTTTAGATAGAAAGTAGCTTTACATTTACTCAGTGTATTTGATGATGTTTCTGAAGTGAGTTTTTGCTGGATGTGTTGTACAACCATCTATTTTTGTTGTTGTTCTGCTGTAAGGATCTGTAATATAAAAGAAATTGGGAAGTATAAGATCATAGAATCATAGTAAAGGATATAAGTTGTGTATGTACCTCTTAAATTTTGAGGTTCAGAAT